CATCGTGTGCCGCCGGCTTTACTGTCAATGTTAGAACATTAGCGCCAGTACATCTTTAATCGGACGCGTCGCAGCACTGAGTGCCACAAACTTTTTTTTCGGGAAACAAAATGATTGATAATGCAGGTCTTTTTTTATTACCGACCTTCGATATTCCTCATTTAACGTTAAATTTTAATATTATATTTTACTTGTTTTAATGACGGTGTGTGTTGTCTAATTATTTATGCAATTATTATAACTCCTAAATAATAAATGGTAATTATTTAGAATACAGGTCCTTGTCTAGAATCTTAATAAAAATGTACTTATTCGATGTATTTTCATTCAAACCGAAAGAATCTAGTAAAAAAACGCGGCCTCGTGAATCGAGTCATTAAACGTTAAAGTTCGAGGCTTTAGAGGTTAAGGCGATGCTAAAGCCTTCTGTTTTACCACATTTCCATTCGGTGAAAAATCTCTGTATTGGATGTACGGATTGCAAAAGTATTATTGCTTAAATTAAAGTACGCACAAACAGGACCTCAGCTGCACTGGATTTCATGAAAAAATCGAAAAAAAGTTTCAGATTCATTAAAAATTCACTTACTTTTGGCTCGTACAGCTGTCACCTCAGATATATATTTGCTTGATATAAGAGTTTTAGAGTTCATATCTTGAAAATAAGCGTGCAGCTGAGGTCACATTATTGAAACAAACGATACCGAGTTTGTAGAACTAAGATTGAAAGTCTAGAAAAGAAATATTTCCACCGAATAGAAAATACGTGTATACAGGTGCTTTGCGAAGACTGGGACTGTCAATAGAGCCGAAATTCCATGTAGCAGTAGCTGCGCGGTCTTGCGATAGATGGTGCTGGCATATGTTAGATAAAAACAGATGTATGCGTTTGAGTAAGACAGAATGATATATATTATATAATATAATGTAAAAACTAAATCAAAGATGTCACCACTATTATTGAATTTGAAATTAAAAAAGTCTGTACTATCGACCTTGATTGAGTTGGGTAATCGGTTTAGCATCCCCTTAATAAACACGATGGTTTTTAGCACCCTTGTGTTAAATGTTGTCCGTAATATAATATTATATACTAAGTATAAACATATTCAAGCTTATGATGGTCAAAGCTAGATCTTTTTTACCTAAATAATTCCCAGTGAATTATCTATATATGTACATGCATATATATCATATTTTTGTAGTTATTCAAACTGCGCACCGAAATTTTTCCGGACTTTAT